AAATATCTGTGGGAAAAGTAAACAACTCTTGGGCTTTGTTAGCTTACTAGCTCACTTCAGCTAACCATTGAAAACAGCTTCAAATTGAATAAAAAAAGAAATATCACTCGGTGTTTTTGGAAAAATCTAACTAAATGGGAAAAGAAAGAGAACAGAGCTAAACAGAAAAAAGGCAAATATTCGGCGAATGAGAATCGTGTTTGTTGGTTAGCATGTTAGCTTGCAGAGAAGCTTAAAGAAGAGCAGGCTAACACCCATTTAATCTCTTTCAGAGAACAGAAAATTGCTTTACCCAATTAACGAGCGCATTAATGACAGATTAATTTTACTCTCAGTCTTCGAAATTACACATCTAAAAAAACTTTTAACCCCACATATTAGATTTATTTATCAAATATGTATACTGATTCCAGTAATTTGACGATTAATAAAATTTATATACTTATACTTTATTAATTACTTTTTTATTAGAAAACATGAGCTTGGAAACATGACAGTAGATTTTTTTTTTTTTTAATCGAGAGGGCTTGGATTAGCTGGGTTAGCAAGTAAACTATTAATTACTGCATTTGGTGTGTATGGGCATAAAACAAAGTAATTATCATGACAATAGCGGCATCAGACCGACACAGCCACGAGCAAAACTTCGCCCATGAGCACGAAGACTTTAAACTTACTGGTTCGAGCACAGAGAACAGGAAAGCACACCATCTGTTGTTGTAGCAAAGCAGGTCAAAATAGCCATCTTGCTAACGTTACTTACTAGGGGTCGTTTGTAAACCTGGGTGTTCGAGGAGGCTGGTATCCGTACAGATGGCAATAAAGCACGTCGAAGCAAAAGCAACACATCTCCGCCGAAACGACCATTTTCCTGGCTCCGGAGCCGGGGCTGAGAGTCGGGGAGAGGCCGGTGGAGTTGTAGCCTCCTGGAGTTGGGGACAGAGCATTGGTGGTGTTGTTGCTGCTACTACTACTACTACCCCCCGGACCCCCCAGGCCGTTCACCCGATTCACGTTCCCGGCCACAACAGTCGACGACGACCCGATCCCCAATTCCGATCCACAATGTCCGGTCCCGGCTATTCCGCTGCACGCCCCGCCGGGACCCCCAGCCCCGGGGGATCCCGACAACTTCTGCTTCTTCACCCCGCAGCACCCTGCCGCCATCTTCGAACAATCTGCACCGACACACCGCTTCCGACCCATCACCGTCACCGCGGGAAGGGCGGGCCGAAACGCAGACCACACGTAGAAATCCCACTGCGTCAGCACGTACGACGGACAATGCTCCACCTTCCCTTCCTTTGACAGACGTAATAACCGAGAGGAGCGTACGTTATATCTCCCCAACAGAGAGGGGAGAGACTGCAATGTCACCCGATATTTTAACTTCGAAAAGACGTAGCGTACGCTGCAGCCTTACGTAATGTTCTTAGGGAGACAGGCAGCCGCGAGCCTCCGCAAATTAAACGCTTCGACGGAGCCAATGTATATTTGCTAGAGTAACAGCCCCTCCTTGGGATGCACTGTGCCAACTGCAACGATGCACGCAGGATTCTGTCAAAGCATGCACGCGTCCATCCATACATGAAATGACAGTCAAGCTTGGCAAATATGTGGCCCGTAGAGCAGCTCGGATTCAGGTCTCCCTGTGAGGGAGTGGGGATCTCGAGTACGCAGGACCCATACACGCCTCATGAACATTAGCCGACCCGAGAAGCGACGCAGTCAGAGCGGCGTTCAGTCGATGCGGTTCGGCTGCATGCGTGACCGCACCATGCCAGCCACGGCTCCACGCTTCACACCGGCCTTCGGGACCCCGTTAGCCGCACGACCTTTTTTACTGCAAGCCCGCCGTGTAAACTGAACCCAAAAGTTTTCCTTCGACGGATCGGAGCGCTGTCATCCGTTTATTCTGGTACATTTTCAAGCGGCATAATAGCATGGCCTCCGTCAGAAGTGGATTCCCCCGGTCTCGCTGAGTGTTCCGCTCACAGCTGCTAACATTAGCTCGGTTGCGGTGGAGAAAATATCCTATGCGATCATCTGAAGCGCTCGGACTAGTATTCTCTACTTTCACGCCGGAGTACAGAGCCCAGGACGTAGGCTAGTTTACGACCGATTCCTGCGTGTCATACGCATTTCTCCCTATTCACTAACTACGTTATCACGGCGCCGTTTCTTCGTCGAGGGACACAGACATCCCGCATTTGTTATTCGCCGAAACGCATAAATCCGTTTATTGTCTTGTCATCCTTAGTTAAAGTCTTCAACCTAATGGAGAAAGAACGGAGCCGTTAGTGAGCCCCATGACCCAGCATCCAGCCCGTCTGTGACCGAACAACGTAGCCTATGTTCTAGTCACCGAACAAGCCGAAGTAATGTCGAGAGTCTGCACTCATTTTTTTTATTTCCAAACTCACCAGACAATAGGAAAACAGCCTGTCCTCACCCTGTCTAAACGCACACACCCACGGTTCACAGGCAGTGGAAACCCTAGAAATATTGGGGAATTTTAAAACGATTTTTTTTTCCAGGCATGGAAAAATAAAATAATGGAATTTAATACCACCTCAAAATGTCTTTATTGTTACAGAACGTTTAATTTTAGTGTGTGGCCATCAAAGACCAGCCAGAAAATATAAATATGAAAATCAGAACAAACACAACAGGGTTTCAGCACCTTCAGCGCTTGGACTCCTATAGATATAGGCTATATTTGTATTACAAATAATTGTACACAATGCTATTTAATAATTAATTTTTTTTACTGCTATTTAATAATTATTTAATTTGTATTCACTTAATTTAAGTGACCTGTTTTTTATTTTATTTATTTATTATTTTTCATGTAAATTGGGAAAAGTGAAATACATTTCCTGAATTTCCACCAAAAAGAGTTAAAATGTAATTTGTCAATTTGTAGCAGCAAAAAAGAAAAACTGAAAAGAAAATGTACGCAAAAAATTGTCATCACTGTTTATTATGTTGATTATGTTTATTATTATGATAGTGTCAATGAAGGAGGGAGGATGTAGGCCTAGTTCTCTAGATTCTGAGTGATCACAACAGTCTGTAGATCTCATTTATAAATAAATGCATTATTGGTGCTAGAGAAAAAAAAAGTTTCATATATAAAAAAAATAAGAGAATGTTTTATTTTTAAGATTATGTAGGACATAAAATTATTTTTTGTTGTATGAAAGCAGCAAAACACAAACAAATGGCAAAACAAACTATAGGCTACTACCATAATGAAACTGAACGATCTGACATTTGAAAATGCTGACAACAAGGTTACATAAAGACATTTAAAGCACTAAGAAAGCATTATGCAGATACTGCCATAGGAGTCATTTCTTGATGACAGTTGCATTGAGTTGCATGTAAAATCAGAGACCACAGACAACCATGAATTGGTCCAGATCCAACAGAAACTCATGATCTTTATTTTCTCTTTAATAGTCTATTAAGAAAAAAAATAAAAGTAAAAATAAGAAAAAAAAAAAAAAAAGTAAATGGGCTACTTGATAGGAAAAAAATGAAACTTTATTTTTTAAGCAGTTGTATCTTTCACTAAATGAGGTCAAGATTTATCTAAATATTCCTATACGTATTCCCAAAATTTGTAAGTAAAGAAAACAACAGAAAAATGTTTTACGTTTAGACATTTTTTAAAGATATTTCTGCATTTCTGTAAATTACAATTTATAACTTCGTAACACATAATGCATTATTATATTAAATATGAACATGCAAAACGAATAGCCATGAAATTATGAATCTGAATTCATCTGAATATATCAAAACGAATGATCTGTTAGTAATATAAGCTGTGTTTAGATGTGTATTGTTTGTGGCTAATTAGAAACTGAAATTTTACAATTGTTTTATTTTTATGAAACGAATGTATATCTACAATAAAGTAAAAGCACTGTTTTTTAATGGTATTTAGACCATATTAACCTCTTAGTTATACATAATGTTTGTAACTGTGGGCTTTCACACACACACACACACACACACACACACACACACACACACACACACACACACACACACACACACACACACACACACACACACACACACCGGTCTCCAGCAGGCTATGTTTTGCAGGGGAAGAGCTGGCCTCAAATTTAAAGGTGAATGACGCAGACATAACACCAGCAGCGGTCACTCATACTTCATCAAATAATTAATAAACAGTTACCTTTTGCTGAAATACGTAATACATTAATCAGTTTTGACAGTACATGTTGCTAAGGAAGCTGCACAGTGATAAATCTGTTCAGTGAAGCGGTCAGCCGTGCTGTATATTGCATAATTTTATAATTAAATGTCAAAATTTTGATATATAAATTAAAAATGTATTATTAATACCTAATGCATTATTTAAGTTAAGATTAAGTTCAATCGTTTGAGCAAAAATATGTAGAATCTAATGCATGAGTTGGTGCCAGATTGGTGCCATCTGGTGGGGGGAAGAAATCAAAATCAAATGTAATGTCATTGTTTAACCACTAGAAGGCTGTGAATCATTTATAGATGTACAGTAAACAGCGATATGTAATAGTTGTTGAGATGATCATTTCCAGATACTACTATTATTATTAAGCTGTGTATTAGGATATATATATATATATATATATATATATATATAT